ATTTGTCGCGCTGCTGATGACGTCAGGTACGCGCTTTAATCGGGCGCGCTTTAGTGGACCGCGGTTTTGACGGGTCACGCTTTGACTTAGCAATGCCTTATGAAGGAATGTTATCAGTAATGCTTAAGCAAAGTTTACATTGCACAGATGCCAGCTTACAATGCATTTTGCAGGGGTGTTTTCTTGGGACACTTTTTGCATGAGGTGGGATATGCTTTTAACAGTGAAGATGTGGGCTATAACCAGGTAGGTAGGTAGGTAGGTTGGTAAGTAAGAGCCAGTTTGGCATGAAACCAGGAAAACTCACCATCTCATGTGAATCCACACCTCTGTGGTTGAGATTTGGCTGCCCAGAAAAACAGCTCATAACCAGGCTGATTCATCTGCTGTGTGAGCCATGTCCAGCACCTTGGCCTGAAGTGACATCTCCATCTTAATTCTGTATTGTGGGAAGTGCCAGGGTTAGCAGCAGCAGGGGCAAACACAACCTCTGGTTTGAGGGTATATTGATGAGAGGTTGGAATTCTAACTCTTGATTGATGAGAAGATAGTCCGGTTGGCCAAACATCTCCCTCTTTGTCTAGGAGGCATAGGACCTAGGGACATGGTCCTCTTGGAATGAAAGGCATGAAAGCAGGAATTCCGGGAGCTGAAGGGGGATGGAGGTGGGGAGGGTTCCATGTGTCCAGGGAGGGGGTGGGGCCTAATGAGAGGCAGCCTGGGGGGAAGTGTTAGAGATAAGTTGGCATGGCTTTACTCAGATAGAGTGGCAAGTGATTTGGGCATGAAACCAGAAATTGCTTCCCAGAACAGCAGTTATGCATAGAACATTTTGCACATCTCTATTATTATATTTCATGGAAGCAAAAAAAATGTCTGTATCATTAACACTCGGGAAGAAGTCATTTGGGTGTTCCAGAAAGTTCTTATTTTGCTTATCTCCCTCCTTAAATAAAGAAATGTTTTTTGATCAGATTTCAGGCAGTACTATAATTACCGTATTGATTGATGACATATAGCAGGAAAATGGTTAATGGTAATTTTACTTGCAAAGTATAGTAGTATTGATTATGTTATAGAAGCTGGCACATGTTTGAAGGGAGATTACAATCCAACCCAAAAAATATTCCTGTTTTCAGTGTAATTTACTCTTTCCAATAAATGTCTGTAAAATTATAGATTGTTAATTATTGTTTAGTTTATTGATTGATTGATCTGTTTATATTTTTGTGTCTATTATGTTACACAGAGAGGTAATTTAAAGTTTTTTTAATGGGAAGAAGGAAGAATTCATTCACTTTTTAAAAAAAATACTTTTTTTGAAAAATATATCAAATTCTGCCTGAAATTAAATATGAACATCTTTAATTAATTTTTGATTAATTTAAATGTTGCTACCTGTTTATTTTTCTACATATAAATTATGTGGCAATTTAAAGTTGCATGTGATAAAATGGTTAAATGTGAAATTTTAGATATTTTTAAAGATTTTATATTTTGGAGGAGCACAGACTATGAATAATTCTTTGATAACACATTTTCTGAGCTTTCAGGATCCACTGTAGCCTGAAAATTGTAACGATGCATTAGCTGAAAGTACATGCTGTGTCTCTGGAATGGAAATAGCAAGAGCACTTAGACTTATATATATACCACTTCATAGTGCTTTACAGAAATGGCTGTATAGTGATCACAGGGAAGAATCAGTGTTGCTGATTGAAATGCAATACTAACTTATCTGCATTTTCTTTTCCAAAAGCAAATTAATAAAGTTCTCCAGCAGAAGTAGTGTCAAAGCTGAAAACACAATTTTTATTCTCCAGATAACAATTCTTGTAACTAGCCAAGTTGGTACATTTTAAGAACCTGAAATCTACCAAATTGGCCTAAATTCAAACTCCCCCTGGGGTTAGATTATGGACTGGATAAAGTGTTGCAGGTTAAAACTGAATTTCGACAAAAGAAAGAGTTTAGCGGGTTGGGAAAGAGCTCAGCCTTTCAGAAAGGACTTTTTTTGGGGCTCCTGTTATGATTCACGTATGTCTCTTCCTGGAAAGACTGATTTAGCTACCAATAACGATGGGTTTGTCCCACCTGATTGGTTCGTTGTAATCCATTTGGTGAAAGGGCGGATGCCCTTGAAAAATTAGCCAAGCTGTCAACTGAATTCAAGTCTAAGCACGTAACACTTTTTCTGACTAAACCGTCATTTCCCAATAGGTTGCAGGGCTGTCTTAATGCATGGGCCTGATGGGCATCCCAAAGGGGCCCCATAGTAATCTGTGTATGTTAACCCTTCAATGCACCTTGCATCATATAAATACAGCGACGTATTTATTATGTTTTACTGCATTTTTAAATTAATACCAACATGCAAATATATATTTAATTTTATCAACCATTTACATTTTTATTCCTGTGAGTAGTTGTCGTAGAGGCCCCAGTACACTGCTTTGCCCGTGGGCCCATAATGTTGAGGCGGCCCTGGGTTTATTGCTCAAATGTCATTAAAATCTCTAAATGTTTTAGAATTCTCTACCTTGAAAAAATGACTTCCTCTTTAAATAGTTATCTGGGAACTACGTTCCTCTGGTAGAAACCTTGTGAACATACCATCTTGGACAGTAGGTTGCCTTCTGTTATAAAGACCATGGACTTTTGGGTGGCGGCTCCAGTACTATGAAGTTCCCTTCCATAAAAGTGCAGTCTGATGTTGTTTTAGAACAGGATTTCTCAACCTTGGCGACTTTAAGTCCTGTGGACTTCAATTCCCAGAATTCCCCAGCCACTGGCTGGGGGATTTTGGGAATTGAAGTCCACAGGACTTAAAGTCGCCAAGGTTGAGAAACACTGTTTTAGAATGTTTGGGAAAAATGTAAACACTCACTTTTACCTCATAGTCTTTATTGTGTTTCGATGTTCCTGGATTTTACAAAAATGACACCCAGGGGTTTACAACATAAAAATGTGAGATTTAATATTAAATACTGGATTCTTGCTGAACCTTTAATGTAGATAAACCATGTGACTAGCATTTTGAGTTTGTGCACCCCTCTGTGAAATAATGGTTATAGATGATTCTCTCTCCCACAGAGTTTGATGACCCTTCCGCCATGGTGGTATTGGCAGAAGAAGAACTAATAGTAATAGACCTGAAGTCTCATGGCTGGCCATCTGTCCAACCCCCATATCTTGCGTCTCTCCACTGCTCAGCCATCACATGTTCTCACCATGTCTCCAACATTCCTCTGAAATTGTGGGAAAGGATCATCAATGTTGGGAGCAAGCAGAATGCTCAGTTTTCTAATATGGTATGACTTGCCTGTTCTACTGAAATAGGGATGCATTTGAAGTGGGTACAGATTGTAATTGTTTTTCTCCTTGGTTAATACTGGATTTTGAATGACCTCAGATAAGGCTTTGGAGGTAAAAAATATTCCTGCTTCTAAGGAAATATAGGAGCTAAGGGGAAAATGGCAGTCTCAGCACCAGTTTCATTTGATAAGTTGTACAGAACATGCTTGATTGACATTAGAGGAAAAATAAGAGTATAAGATGAATTAGTGATTATGAATAATCCTGCCGTGACAATAAAGTACTCTTTGCTAGCACTAATATAATGTGGCAGAAGCTTGAATCCAGCACTTACCTGCTACTCATTAAGACAGCTGCATTATTTTTCATTGGGGAGGGGGTTGGGCTCATAGTATTCCTGAAAATAGGGACAATTGTTTTAATTGGGACAGAGACAGGTGCTTCAATCCTTCTCCATAGTTCACCCAAATCAACTCCAAAATATTACACAGCTCACTAATGAAATTATTGGTGGATAATTTTAGCCACAAAATTATCCAAGAGTTTGTTATTATGAGGAAAGCTAGTTTTTCCACTAACACTAATACAGGTAGTCCTCGACTTATAATCACAATGGCACCCCAAATTTCCATTCCTAAGCAAGACAGTTGTTAAGTGAGCTTTGCCCCATTTTATGACCTTTCTTGTCACAGTTATTAAGTTAATTATTGCAGTTTTTAGGTTAGTAACACGGTTGTTAAAGGAATCTGGCTTTCCCATTGACTTTGCTTGTTAGAAGACTGCAAAAGGTGATCACCTTGACCCCAAGATACTGCAACCATCATTAATATGAGTCCGTTGGCAAGTGTCTGAATTTTGACCATGTGACCATGGAGATGCTGCAATGATTGTGTGAAATACGGTGCTAAGTCACTTTTTTTGATGCTGTTGTAACTTCAAATGGTCACTAAATGGTTTTACGTCGAGGACTATCTGTAGCTATCCCTTTGCTTTTTTTATGTCACTCCTGTATATCATGCTGAGAAGCTTAATCTTCCTTTTTACCTAAAAGTAACTGAATTCTGTAATTATATTATATCTTTCCCAATTGTGTAGTTATCTTATAGGATATTATTTTCAAGCAGATCAGGGAAGTGTATCTTTCTGAAATTTTGTCTTGTCGATTGACAAAGCTCAAAAAACTGAAATTGGGCTAGATTTCATTAGCACTTAAGAGTGTGAAAGTTAAGATTTTCTCCCAGCCTGGAGAAGCATAGTGGGTTATTTGAACCAACCTTACCTGCTGTCACTGATCTCTGTCACATCCATGTTCCTCAATCCCTACAATAACCTTGTTATATAGATATTTGTATAGTACAGAAGAAGGGAGACTCTGGACATATATTGATGTACATCTGTAGAGTTTCTCAACAGGAAGGGGGATTTGTATTCAGCTGCAGTCCACCCTCACATGGAAAAATTGCACATGAATGCATGTGCATATCATACATGCATAGAGTCATTTCAGATAAACAAGTGGTTGATGGATTTTAATTGCTTCCTGCTACCAAGTCTTTTATTCTGTAAAGACATAACTATCCTTCACCATTTGTGATCTCTCCTCCCACAAATTCTCTTTTCCATTTTCCCAGCCCTGGCCAATTAATGGGGGTATCAGCAAAGCTCCAGATCCTCCCCAGCGGGATTTACTGCTTACAGGGTAGGTATAAGCATGCAAATTCATCCTTGGCTTTACTCTTGTAGAAACAGTAACTCATCACTGCCTTATTTCCCTCTGCTTAGTCAGTAACAAGCAATCAATAGAAAATGAGGGACATAACCTTTGCAGCAGTAAATGAACTGCCAATCATTTTGGAAATGACCGCTTAGTTATCGCAGGCTTTAAATTGGATTTCCGAACACTCCATTTTTAAAACAACCTTTTAACATATAAGTAAACAAATGGGGTAGGATGTTACAGGTGATCTAATCCTGCATGCTGTGCATGTTAAGTAGCCTCATATTGCTGCCTTTTCTATTTGAAATTTCAAAAAGAGACAAAAACATTCTAAAGGGATTTTCAAGGTATTTGTGTAAATTCCTGGTAAGATTGTACTTAAAGATCCAGGCACTTTGCCAGTTAAGTTAAAGAGAGATATTTGCAGGCAGGAGTTGGGATATGGTAGTCCTGAAAGCCAAATGGTACTGATGCTCTGGAATAATTACTGCTGCTGGGAGTATGTATCTGTGTGTATACATACGCATGTGTAATATCAACATTTAAAAAAAACACATTCTTGTTTTAAAAATAATAGCTGTAGTTTATATAGATCTCCTATATCATTTTTGCAGCTGTAATTTAAGAAATGAAAATAGAGGAGGAGTAGAACTAGAGAGAGGAAGGTTGATAAGTCCAGGCACCAATTATTTAAGCACTATTAGTGATTAGAACAGGCTAGTAATCATGGTAGGGAAGGATAGCCCAAGACGAGTAAGCCAAAAGTGGACTGACAAACATTCAAATTGTTTATGGCAATTTATTTCTTTTATATTTGGTTTACTAAGTTGAGGTATGAAAGAGAAGCTACTTTAGAACACTCATTGGAAAGAAAAGTCCCTTTCCAGGTAAATATTTTTTTAAATATACTTCAGAACTATTGGAAACAAATATGGATAGAACATAGCTGCCCTGATTTTCTTTGTCTTGGTGAAGGCAAGTTTTTCTCAAAAGACTTGCTGCCAGGCACCTGCAGTCTGATGTGACCAAGAAATGTTCTGGGCAGCTCTTCTTCTTTCTGCACTAGGCAGAACAGCTCAGTATAGGTTTCGGCTATATGCCTATCTATATAGAAGTGATGGCAAACCTTTTTTGGCTGCTGTGTCAAAAGCCGGGGGAGCACAGGGGGGTCGTGTGCTGGCGTGCCACACCCATAATGTTATGCATCTGCCCCCCAAGCGCACGTGCATGCATGCAATCAGCGCCCTCGCTTTTGCCATGGGTTTTTTTTTGTTTCCCCAGGCTCCAGTGGCTTTCTAGGAGCCTGGGGAAGGCGAAAACAGCCTCCCCGCCCCTCCCAGACTCCCTCCAGAGACCTCAGGAGCTTCCCTGAAGGCTCAGAAGGGCAAAAAATGGACTTACGGACAAACTGAAAGTCACCATTCCCGAACTTCCAGGTTCCCCGTAGGGCCGATTTTCGACCAATTTTGAAGCTTCCCTGAAGGCTCCAGAGGGCAAAAATCGGTGCTACGAGCAAACCAAAAGTGACTTCTGGTTTTTCCATAGGGCTGATTTGTGACCTCCAGAGCCTTCAGGCGCCTTCAGGAGGCTTTCCTGAAGGCTCCGGAGGGCAAAAAGCGGCCCTACGAGCAAACTGGAAGTGACTTCCGGTTTTTCCATAGGGCCAATTTTTACCTTCAGGAGCCTTCAGGAGGCTTCCCTGAAGGCTCCGGAGAGCAAAAAATGGTCCTACGAGCAAACCAGAAGTCTGTCCCTAAACTTCCAGTTTGCCCGTAGGGCTGGTTTTTTGCCCTTTGGAGGCTTCAGGGAAGCCTCCAGAGGGCGAAAAACCGCATCAAAAGAAAGCTGAAGTCATCTGGCCAGCGCGCATGTGCGCTGGCCAGCTGACAGGTCATTGCCTCACGTGTCCTGACAAACGGCTCCGCGTGCCACCTCTGGCACACATGCCTTAGGTTTGTCATCACAGCTATATAGTATAGGCTCAGTACGCACTTGATGACATTCTTCCCCAGTCTGATGACCTCCAAGCGGTCTTCACCTGCAGTGACACAAAGTTTAGCCAGCATGCTGACTCGAGATTATGGATCCGAAGTCTAAATAGTCTGGAGACACCAAGTATGGAAAGGCTGCCCTACAATGTTTTGCCAAAACTGCTCTGAGGTGCATGCAGAGAGAGATCATTGTGAAAAGGGAATTTTGCATAATGAAAGTTTTGTAAGCATACATGACTAGCAAGAGGAAATGTAAATTACTTTTTGCCCCATTAATACTTAATATGTATTGACTAAAACGCTTCCACCAGGCTAGCTTTGAATATGGAGCAGCCAGTCATTCAGCATCTCTCAGGGAGAGATGGTATAAATCAGGGAGTGATTCTGGTATAACCTGCCTTTCTGCTTTGGGCTCAGGCACGAGGATGGCACAGTGCGCTTCTGGAATGCATCTGGTGTGTGTCTAAGCCTCCTATATAAACTAAGCACAGTGAAGGTGTTTCTCACTGATGCAGATCTCAATGACAATATGCAGCTGGGAGAGGATGAATGGCCTCCACTGCGCAAGGTAAGCAGCCTTAACCGGCTGAAGTCAAAGCTTGTTCTATATTATGTACCATATTTTTCGGACTATAAGGTGCACACACACCCCAAAGGGGTTGAAATGTCTGTGCGTCTTATAGACCAAATACAGCCCTGGTTTTGGCCTCCCAAACGCACCCCCCTCCCCCGTGCATCCTGTTTTCGGTGAAAACGGGATGTGTGAAGGGTTTGGGAAGTCTGCAGAATGCTCCTGGGAGCTGGGGAGGGCAAAAATGGGACTCGTGAAGGGTTCCGGAGGCCAAAAATGGGCCTGTTTTTGGCGAAAACAGGATGCACAGAGGGTTTGGGAGGTCTGCAGAGTGCTCCTGGGGGCTGGGGAGGGCAAAAATGGGATACGTAGAGGCCAAAACTATTTCTTCTTGTTTTCCTCTTCGAAATCTTGGTGTGTCTTATACTCCACTGCGTCTTATAGTCCAGAAAATACGGTACTTTCAAACAAGTGCTCTTTGCAATACTTTACTATATTTTTGTGCTCAGGTGGTATTTGATGTTTCTTCCTCTCCTGCATTAGGTTGGCTCCTTTGACCCTTACAGCGATGACCCCAGACTTGGAATCCAGAAGATCTTCTTATGCAAATACAGTGGATATTTAGCTGTAGCAGGGACAGCAGGACAGGTACTAATAGGATGAATATATATCAAAGAGATTTGTATGGGCTATTGTAGCTTAGAGACCCATGCTTTCACACAGATACAATTATCCTTCTTAATTAGACAGATCTGTTAGATCGTCTCTGTTATCCTAACAATTTCAGGGTTGGGGGAATTGGATGCAATCCAGCCTACTCAGATATTGTGTCCTTTCTGTGCTAATTCTGGCTAAAAAGTAGATTCTCAGACAATGGTCTCTTCACTGCACACTGGAGAAATAATTTCCAAACTCTAGCAAGCCATATCCCTTCCGCAGTCCTGCATGCACTACACAAGTTTTGCTATTTCCTCAACATCTTGTGTTCCCAAATACAGCTACAATGCAGGTAATCCTCCCTTAATGACCCCATTTATGACCAGAATATTCATTACTAAATAAAGCGATTATTAGATGAAATATCACATGAATTGATCGCTTATCAACAGCAGTTTTGGTAATTCTGGTTGCGGTTCAGTGGGCTAGCACTATGCCATTGTTAGGTCAGGACCTCACACTTCTCCTGCCTTGCCCTGCTCTGCTCATCTCCTCTTCAGCTACCACCGCACTTTTCTCCCCCAAATCTGTGTCCTTTTGACCTCTGTATTCCATTGCTGCTACCCCTGCCACCCCACCCCATCCCAGTACCTATTGACTTTCGTTAAAACCAAAATAAGGAAATAAAATAACCAGTATATAGTCATACCAAAACATGAAACATGATGGTGAATCCAACTAGCAACACATATATCACACACTCAACCAGAGGCACCATCCAGACTAGCCCAAAATGTGGGAGAAGATTGAAGCCTTTAAGGTCCTCCAGAACACAATCCAGATGAGAGTTTTCAGGAGAACCTCATTCCAGAGGGCAGGCACCAGGAGAGTGGAGGCACACTTCCATAATGCCAGTAGATGGCATTTTTTGATCAAAGAAATCCAAAAGAGATCAACTAGGGCAGACGCCACAGGAGACGGCAAGGAAAATATCAAGTAGCCAATAGATGGCCTTTTTAAAAAAGAAATCAGGAATGCATCAACTGGGCTTTATGTCATGTATGTCATAGCTTATAACCAACACCTTGAGTTGCACCAAGAAGTTTACCAGCAACCAGTGCAGCTTGCAGAGTTAACCAGCCTATTTATTATTATGACTATTTAATTAATTAATTAATTAATTAATTAATTAATATTGCTGCCTATTCTCCCATGGCAACTCAAGGTGGCTTACAGTATATAAAACTTCATATAAAAACAATAAAACTAATAAAAGAGTCATATAATAACTTAATATAATAAAATCACACACACACATCCCTTCCTGGCAACAGCACCTCACACGAGCCATTTAATGGACTCCATCCCGCTCTGGGTTCCACAGGCCAACTGGCAGAAGCAGGTCTTCAGTCTTTATTTCTCACACTTAACGAACATTGCAGCATTCCTATAGCAGTCATGTGATCAAAATTTTGATGCTTGTCAACTGATTCATATTTATGACAGTTGTAGTGTTCCATGGTCATGTGCTCCTCTTTTGCAACCTTCTAAGGAGCAAAGTCAATCTGGGGAAGCCAGATTTACTTAAAATTATGTCCCTAACGTAACATCTTCACTGATTCACTTAACAATTATGGCAAGAAAAGTGGTGAAAGGGGACAAGGTTCATTTAACAAATTGCTCACTTAGCATCAGAAATTTTGGGCTCAATTATGGTGTAAGTGGAGGACTACCTATAGTCACTTTACCACCAGATAAGGCTTACATGTTGCTTCTACTTTATTTGGACTCTTTGGATGTTAAAGCAACATCCTTTTGTTGGATTATGTCCCAAAATAAATGTGATGGTTGGAATTCCCTGCCCCTACAGAGGAACATGAAAACAAAGCAGTCTGAAAATAAATGAAATAATTGTTTTGCGCTAGTAAAAGCCCAAATGGGAAAGTGTATTTATTTTGGATTAAATGCTAGTGCAAATAATGTGGGATTTGCAGTATCGAGATTTCACAGAGCAGATTTCTGAATGGAATGTATCTCTTATCTGAAGGTCCTTGTCATGGAACTGAATGATGAAGAAGCAGAACAGGGGATTGAACACGCAGAAGCAGACTTTCTCCAGGACCAAGAAGGCTACAAGTGGAAGGGCCATGAACGTCTGAAAACCAGGGATGGGCCTGTCCAATTTGAGCCTGGCTTTCAGCCCTTTGTCTTGGTCCAATGTCAGCCTCCGGCAGTGGTCACATCACTGGCCCTTCATTCAGAATGGAAACTTGTGGCCTTTGGTACAAGCCATGGATTTGGACTGTTTGATCATCAACAGAAGCGGCTGGTTTTTGTGAAGTAAGTTACTTTCTGGGAAAGATGATGTTTAAAAGAAGGCTTATGCGACATGTTTGGTATACAGTTTGTAAAGTTTTTCTGTTTTCAATTCTGGTGTTACTATTGTATTTTTTGACATAATAAAGTGGAGGTTTTGCAATGAAATCCAACTGGCTTAGGTCACCGAGTCCCAAGTTTTTTTACATTCCTGGAGCTCTTCCAAGCTGCACCGCCCTGGTTGCTGTTAATTCGGAAGTGAGAAGAAAGACTTAAAAGTTTAACATAACTATGAAAACGAAAAGGCCATCCTGTAAAACCCACTGATAATCCTGTTGCTATCATAAATGGGTACTATGCAGCCTTGCTTGGTTAGCATTGCTGTACCTCAGGGGTGTTAAACTCACTTCATCATGAAGGCATCACATGACATATGGGCTCTTTTTTCTCCATTGCTAAACCGGGTATGGGCGTGGCCAGAACGTGACGCATCTGGCCCACAGGCTAGGAGTTTGATAACCCTGCTCCACCTACTTCGATCTTAGTTGAGGAGTAAACATTGCTTACTCCTGATTTAAGTAAATCATTATCCTCCTCATTATCTGTTAAGTTGTAACTTGTTCTGAACATCTGAAGAACGATAGGAAAAGTATCAGGGGTATGTCTGCATAATTAGATGGAATTTTCTGGGCAAACTATTGAGAAGAATCCTGGTTCCCTAAATCCTACCCAAAAGAAGCTTAAGCTCCTTTTGAACATTCTAGAACAGGGGTGTCAAACTCGATTTCATTTAGGGCCACATAAGGGTTGTGTTTGACCTTGGGGGGGGGCTGGGTTGGCCATG